CTCCATCTCCTTGAGCCAGTCATCGGCCACAAGCGGGTCAGGGTCGGTGCCATCATAGGTAGGTGGCCTTAGCTTCAGAAATCCTTCTAGCTTCCTTTGGAAGTCATTCTGCTGACCTCCCTGGCGACGGTTTGCTCCGTCAACAAGGGCTGCAAGAAGTTGGGTCTGCTGCACCATCACTTCTGCCAGGTTCGGTGGTGGTGGTGGCGGAATGTTCTCCTCGGTAGGCGGCGGGGTATTCTCCAGGTTGAAGGGTATCCCTCCACGTCCACGGCCACGGCCACGGCCATGGCCACGGTTGTTGCCACCACGGCCCCCGTTTGGTTCGGCTGGTTCGGGGATGGGCGCACGTCCACGGTTCATTAGGCGAGCTGATCGGCGGTTTGGCATCTGCAACACGGATCATAGAATTTTAGTGTTTGTGCCATAAGTGCTTATAATTCAATATGATTACATGATTTTGACGTTTTAAAGAAAAACATTCATACTATCCAACACTCATTACAAAAAAAGCAATAAGATCCATAAGATACAATAAGATACAAAAACATTCATTACATGGGTTTTATTACATAGCACATCTCCAGTAGCTACACTTGAAGACGTGCGAGAATCGTACTACGCATAATGTCTCATATTACATCTCATAAGTGGTACATCATGGGGTACAACTTACGGAAGCCACTGACATGACTCATGACCACGCAGGGCCATCTACTCTAACTCGTACACCGTAGCTGGGATACGACTGTTCTCGATCTCGATCTCCTCGTTAGACTTGTGAAGTCGGGACACGTACTTCAAGGCCTCGGCGAGCTCCTCAGTAGGCTTGGCTTCAGGTAGGGTAGGGCAGTTGTCTAGATTGAGGCGAGTCGGGGCTAACTCAAACTCCTCTATCCTAGGCTTCGTCTTGCTGCGAATCTCCTTGGGTAGCTGATTCCACATACCCTTCATCTCCCTGAGGCGCTTCTTGTCAGATTTCTGCCAAGCCTATCAAGTCCTCTCACACTTGTCCTGTAGATACTCGTTCTGCCTGAGTGCCTCGATCAGGTGACCCTGGTTGCGAACAGTCTTCTTCCTGAACTCCTCTAGCTCCTGGGTCATGGTCTTGTTCTGAGATTGGATTTTCAGCATATCAATCCCCTTGGACCTCTCTTTGTCTCCTCTACGGTTGAACTCGGCCTTCTTGTCGTCCAACTCTCTCTGCAACTCTAAGACCTTGCTGTCGAGGTAGCTGTTCCTGTTGCCTAGGTCGGCTGCTTTGTCCTGTAAGTCAGCGACCTCGGCTCTGTTGACTTCTTCACGACGGTTGAGTTCGTCCTGTAGCTTGGCAACTGTCTTAAGCAGACTAGCTCGCTCTTGTGCTCCCTGCGAGTCCCGCTCCTGGTACTCCCACAAAAGGGCCCGGTCCTGACGTCTCTTCTGCTCAAGCTGGGCCACGTACCTGTCCTGCTCTAGTAGATGGATAGCTGAGACGCGAAGGCATCTGTCCTTCTCTACAAAGATAACTTTGCCGGCTGCGAAACTCTGCTCACTAGGGGTGAGGCTAAGGTCGAGGGCCTGGGGAAGTAGACGGAACTCTGTCGTCTTCAGGTGCTCATAGTGGTCCCTTATCACTCTGCGAAGTGCCTTGTGTGAGATAGCTCGCTTTCCCTCCTCAACTGTGTCCTCTACAGTCAACTCGGTGAAAGTTGGGACAGAAGGTAAGGTAGTGCTAGCTGGGAACTCGACCGAGGTGACAACCGGTCTTTCGATTCCTCCTTCCTGAGCTGACTTCCCGGTGCAGGTGACCTTGATAAGCTCGCCAGGGACTCCTAACGTGATGAGAACTCGGCAGGGGGTCTGTGCAAAACCCCTGAGCTCACGTAGGTCGAAGGTAAGCTTGGCGTGGTCCAGAGGTAGCGGTCGTAGAGGCGGCCATTCGACGTTCGTTGCCATCTGCATGTTTTAAGGAATCAGGTGTTAGCAGGTCAATAAATAGATAAGCCTTGCATAAAAGTAAATGCAGGGTCGGTATATAACCGAAAGAGGGGCTGTTCACGTCCTATTCTATCGTCCATTTCTGAGGGTTTCGTCCTAGGGTCATGTATGACTCTGATACCAACTGAAACGACCTGATTTCCGTGAAGGGAAATCCACAGAGTCGAAGTGTAATAAGACCGTTGTAGATCATATTACCCAAATTCCAGTCGAATATCACATCCATACAACGATAATATCAGAGTACAAATAGTGCGGAATTACATAAATTATTACATCGCCGCATTGGCGGAATCAAAAGTAGCATTCATTCAGAACAGCTTGAAGATAAGATCGCCAAACTTGAGCGTAGGAACGAACCCCTCAACCGTCAAACTCCTCGGAGCTATACTCCTCAGCAGAACCTGTGTGCCAAACTTTATCAGTACGATTTGTACTGGCGACTCCCACCCTATGAGCATTGATTTGTGGAAATTGGATGCAAGTTGGATATAATAAAAAAGGAACCTATAAGGCTGGAGTTTTCTATGTTTTAGCATTCAAGTATATAAGATTAGTTAGTCAAGTTTTAACACCATTTCCACACCCATTCCACCCAATTTCCGTCTAGAGCCAGGTTTCGATCCTGGGATCGATATACCACCATCTCCACACCATCACCATACCCGTAGCTAGGAGCTGTTCCAAGGGTCCTGGTGCCCTGTTCCCGTTCAGACTGCTAGCGGGCGACCGGGACAAGTGACGACGGCGACTAAAAGACGTGGCGGAGTCCGCGCGCGGTGATGGTGCACAACGGAGCTCCGGCCGAGGTCCGATGCTCGTGGCCGGGGCGCTGTGGTCGGCTAACGGGGTCTCGGTCTACGCGGCTACCCTTCAGGTGTCATGGTGGTGCTACGGCTACGTCCTGGTCCGGCGAGGCGGACTGGTGCGCAAGTGGTGGCCGCGCCATGACGGCGGCGTTGTGAGCGCGGCGTGCGCGTGCTCTGCTACGATGTCCATGGGGCTAGGAGGAGTCTCAGCAGCGAGGGGCTCACCGTTGGTGTCGAAGGCGAAAGGATGGCGGTGCAGGGGAGGGTCGTGGCCGTGTAGACGGAAGCAGTGCAGTGCCCACCCGCGACCGTGAGGAAGACGACGGCGTCGTCTTTGGCTCCGACGACTTCGACAGCACGCGGGTGGCTCCGATCCTCCTCTCCCGAACTCCTTCTCGGCCCTCTTCTCTCGGTGCGGTGCGGGCTGCTGGGCCACCAAGCGGCGGCGGTGGCTGAGGGATCCCTAGGGCTCTGGGCGTGGCTTTATAGCCCCCGATGCCCGAGCTCCATCTATGGGTGGTTGGCGCGGAGGTTGCGTGGGCGCGGCGCCAAGGGGACAGGGCCAGGCGATTCGCGTGACCCCGGGCCCGCGCCTGTCATTTTGGTCGAGTCACGGTCGGAGGCGGTGCCGGCATGGGGAGGAAGACGACACTATGGCGGTGTGCGGCTGACGCGTGGGGTCCGGTGGCAGTGACAGCAAGCGAAGCGGGGAGGTGCGCGCAAGCTGGGCTGGCTGGCTGCTGCGCGCCAGTGGGCCAAGCAGGCCGAGCCAGCTGCGGGCCTTCTTCCCTTCTTTTTCCTTTTTCTGTTTTATTTTTCTTCTCCTTTGTTTGAATTCCAATTTGGTTTGAAATTTGAATTCAAAATTGGTGTACCATAGTCATTGTAGTTTTAGACATGAGGCCCACAACATTCTTTCATATATATATTAGGAATTTATTTAGCTATTTTGTATAACAAAAATAAGTGTAGTTTTGTTATACAAAAATGAAAATAGTTTCCTCTTTATACATTTATTCTTTGGTTTGAGTAATAACTACTTTATGGTTTATTTCTTTAAAGGTGTTGTTAGACATTACACAAAACAAATGAAAATCCAAATCACCATTTGAGTTGACAATGTATGCTATGTTTCATTTGTCAGTATTTAAATAAACATGATAACAAATGACATGCCATGTTCATGAAATTATCTAGTTGGGTTACTTCTAATGCAAGACTTAGGGTTGACTCCTACAGATGTCATTCAACATTGCATGGGGTAATAGCAAAATTTTTTGTAGTTGTGATTTTTAGGCCCCGTTTGGCAGAGCTTCTCTAGCGGCTTCAGGAGCCGCTTGGAGCCGTTTTCTGCCAAACGGGGTAAAATAAAACGGCTCCACCGATGAAGCCCCTAAAAACGTGCTCTCACAGAGCTTTGGGGTGGGAATGAGCAAAAAATAGTGGCTTCTCTCGGCTTCACCTCATTCTACATGGCGTTCTCTGAGAGCATATTTTAAGAAAAACTATATGTGAAGCTGTTTTGCCAAACGATTTATCAAAACGGCTACAGCTCCACCCATAGAGCTGTTCATGGAGCTGAAGCCCCAAAAAAGGGCTTCATGGGTGAAGTGGAGCCGTGCCAAACGGGGCCTTAGTGTGTGGATTTTTGGGTTGTTACACTAATCCACCTGAAATACTTGAACCTTAGAGAAACAGAAATCACGGAGCTCCCGAAACAAATTGTAAAACTCCAGTGTTTGGATACATTGGATGTAAGAAACACTGGGGTGAGTGAGTTACCTTCGGCTATTATTCAACTTCGGCAATTGGCTCGACTGTTCATTGATCTTGACACCAGATTGCCAGATGGAATCGGAAAAATGCAAAATTTGGAAGAGCTGCCACATGTCAATTTATGTATGTACCATATGAACTTCCTGAAAGAGCTGGCTCAGCTAAGTAAACTTAGAGAGTTGGAGATAAGTTGGGATCGTTACGGAACACGAGTTGATAAAGTTTCTTATGAGGATGTTTTGACACGTTCACTTCACATACTGGTCACACACAACCTTCGGTCTCTTACTGTTCACATCATGGACGAACAGAGCTTCCCTCTCCATACCTGTCATCCTGCTCCTTGTGCACTTCGCAGGCTCCACTTCGACATGAAGCTTGGAACAATTTTTTAAAGTTCCAACCTGGATGGGATCACTTGTTAATCTCCAAGAACTAAGCTTCCGAATTGAAAGAATGACTCAAGATGGCCTTGATATCCTTGGAGATATCCCGGTTCTCCGCTCTCTTGCCATGCACTTGGAAGACTGCCCCAAAACTAAGTGGTGGGAAGATCCTAGCCCCGAGGATTGGCTTAGGACCTGAAAGAGATTTGAAAGTTTGAATGCCTTCCGCTTCATATGTGATTATTGGATGGGACTCATATTTGAAGCTGGATCTATGCCAAAGCTTGAAATACTTGAAATCGAGGTTCCATCTGCTAACAATGTTGTAACTGAGAAACTTGGTTTTGATTTTGGCGTCAATAACCTCTACTGCCTCCACAAAGTTGCTTTTAGATTTAGTAATCTGGGATGCAGTGAAGAAACTGAAGTTGCCGTCAGGAAAGCAGTCAGCAGACATCGCAACAAACCTGCACTGGAAATAGTAAGGAAAAGGCTTGAAGTTGAAAAGGCAGATGGAAAATCTGGATGAGCTGATAATAAACCTGAAACTCTGCTGAACTTCCAGTTGGGACTTGTGAGTATCAGATAAAGGTACACGTTACCCCATATTCCTTTTATTTTTTTTAAGGAACAACACATGTGCAGTTTTAACGCTTTAGATCGGCATCCATTTTTTGTCAATAAAGCATGGTTAGTGGCTTAAAAAGTATATTGACGTGTAATTTCTTATTAAAAAGGTTAACCTGCAGTCAGTTTCTTTCTCAATTATATTCTCAAGGATTTTGGTTTACGTGCTTTACTTTGAACAAGGCTGGTCAGTAGGAGTAGAGTTTCTAAGCTCTATGCAGCTCTGACAATCTCAAGGCTGTTTCGTGCAGGAAGCAATGCAGTCAGTTGATAAGAGCAATGCTCTATCGACTATCGTGCCGTGCCGGTACGTATGGTGTTTGGATAGTGTGTCGATTAACTAATTTCGGTGCAAATAACTTTTATCGACTATCGTGCCGTGCCGGTACGTATGGTGTTTGGATAGTGTGTCGATTAACTAATTTCGGTGCAAATAACTTTTATTGTTTTGGCAAAAACACCGTTTAACCAGCTCATACAGATCAACTGTAGGTAGAGAATATCCAACCATACAAAAAAAATCCAAAAAAACTAATTTCGCAATCTTTGGAATAAATATTGGAACAAAAAAATCACATCACCAACAGTTCCCAATATTTTGCTCCCAAAAAGATAAAAAAGCAGTTTGATTTGTGAAATCCTTGGGTTTAGTACTTGGAAACTCCTATTCTTTTTTCTTTGAAAAGAGTAGCAATATACCCTTTTTTTCTTATTTCATTTGATAAAGCATTTCCCTCACCTGACACCGTGGCAACCATCCTCGCCACCTAACTTACACCAAAATTTCCAAAACGGAGTCTTCATTGCCTCCTCTAACTCCCATAGTTCTCAAATCTACATCGATTGCTCTACCTCCCGGTATTCTTAGATTTAAAAATAGTGGGCAGACATCCAATTTCGGCAAACCTGCCAGGCGGTGGCGAGGGCGTCTGTGACTGCCATCCCAGCACCCTAAATCGTAGCCAGAACCTACAAAGCGAAATCTGCATTGCCTAACCTACTTCTTAGCATTATCAGATAAAAGTAGTGGCTAGAGATTCAATTCCGACGAACCTTTAGGTAGCGGCGGTTAGGACGAAGAACCTCCAGCGGCGGCGGTTGGGAAGGAGTGTTGAAGAAAAAAAAAACCACCACCGCATGATAGGGAGTAGCAGTCCTCCATGTATCTTTGGATGTGAATGCCTCCATTTTTCCAAGTGTGAATAGATTGAGAGCTAGTATACATAGGGAGCCGTTGGAGGAAGTATTTCTTAATTCTACCAAAAAAAATCTAGATTAAGAGTGGCTTTGCCAAACTGTTAGAGATGATTCGAAAAAATTGACTGCATCTAGCTTGCTAATTGTCTCGACCAACTCATATTCTTCTCCCAATTCCCCTCTTTTACCCAAATGTGAGACAAACCAACAGTAGCAGGGTGGGTGGCGCTGCGTTATCGAGGGTAGGGGTAGGCATTTGGTAAAACCAAACTGTTTGGCTTTTTTTTTTCCCAATATTCTTAAAAATCTAAAGACCAAGGATTTTGATTTTAGTTAATTCAGTTCATTTCTTTTTTTTTTTTTGGGTTAATTATGCCCGGCCCTAGTAGCGGTGCAACCATGTGAGCGCTATAATGACTGGCATCTCATAGTTGGTGATCACCAACAAGGCCCCGTTCGGCTTACCTTAAATCCAGCTTGTTCGGCTTTTTTTTTTCAGCCGGAACAGTGTTTTTCTCTCACATCATTTCAGCCAGAACAGTGTTTTTCAACCACTTTCAGCCAAGTTTCAGCAAGCCGAACGGGCCGAGGGCCCAAATTTTAGTTTTGTAGCGCAAATTTTAGTTACTTAGAGTGGATATCCTTCATGTAGAATGTAGTGCTTTGCAAAACGAAAAACAAATCGATTGTTGTTTCCTTTAATTTGTCTTTAGTGGATATTATATATTGAATAACTTGTACCTTTATTTATCAACTTTCTGTTGGCACTTTTAGGCTGGATATTTTTTTCTATTAGGAACTGGGAATATCCAACCACAAAATCCTGGTTGTAGTCTTGTAGATCAGATGTTGAACACCATGCTGATTTTGATTAATTTTTGTTATTCCAGTGGCGTCATAAGTAAAATTGTTCTTGCGATTCTCCTATACTCGTAACAACACTGTTTCATAAAGTACTAGTACATTTAGGGACGTCGCTGGGGTGGTGGCGCAGTTGGCTAGCGCGTAGGTCTCATAGCTAAAGCGAGTGATCCTGAGGTCGAGAGTTCGAGCCTCTCTCACCCCAATTTTTTTATTGACTTTTCCAAGTAAAATTTTAGAGGTACCAGAAAAAATACATACTCGTAAGTTGCAATGAAACAAAAATATAATTGTTTACTTTTGGTCCAATAAAGTTCACACAAAAAATATAAACTGTTTACTAGTTTGATGACTAGATTTACAGCCGGATCGGAGAAAAATACACACATCTGCAAGCCAAAAAATTTCCCCAACAGTTATCGTGCAGTTGTGCATGTGTTGCCTATCACTAGAAAAATAGTGATATATTAAATCCTAGAATAAAATAAAAATAGGAACGCCCTACCAAGTCAAGAATTTAAATTTAGATCAACAGATTACACAATAAAAATCCTAATCAACAAAGCTGCATCATCAGTTCGTAGTCATGTTGAACCTAATTCCAAATCTCCTGATAAACCGTTCCCATCATGTACCTCGAGCCCAAATAAAATCATGTTGTCACCATCATATCAATCCGTGGCTTGACTTCAAAGTAGTCCATGCAACATCGTTGACACAAGTGTATTTGCACCACTTTTAGGTCTTGTTTGGAACCACACAGACTCACCCCCAACACAAATGGATTGAGGCGAATATATATATATGGGCTGTTTAAATTTCACACCAACCCACCTCAACACACATGTATTGAGGTGGATACATGTGCATCCAAACAAGCCCTCAAATAAACCATGTTGTCACCATCATATCAATCTGCACATGCAAAACACTTTGCAGTGACAATATTTCAATCAAGCTAAAATGTTCACCATCCATGATCCCACAAAACAAATGATGACCGGTATCCTTGTCTTAGTGTTGTTGGTTTAAAAAAATGTTGGGTAGGGATTCCGAGAAATTAAAGGACACATTTAAATAAATATATAATAATCTAAAAACAAATAACAAGTTTTGCACTTCTCCATACATAATGTTAGTAAACAACACTGCCATATATATTGCATCTATCTCTCACTGTATAAATATTCCGTAGTTGATAAATTAATTCAGTAATATCTGGCTGTATATATCCCATGTGAATATAGTGGCCGGATTTTATATCCTTTTGTCTATAAAAAATAGTAGTATATCTACCTTTTGCTATATGACATCCAAGAATCTAAGAATTAAAGGCATGCATGGTTGTTGGTGGGTGGAATACTTCCATGGCTTGACTCAAAATTAGTCCATACTACATCACTCACACAAGTGTATTGCACCGTCCTCAAATAAATCTTGCTAAATTTTATCCTCATGCAAAACACTTTGCAATGTCAATATGACAATGAAGCCAAACTTTCATCATGATCCCACAAAATGAATGATGGGGGTATCCCTGCTTTAGTGCTGTTGGTTTTGAAAAACGCAATCTTGAGTGTGGATTGCACCAAATTAACATAAAGTACATATTTGACATAAATAAATATCTAAACCCTAGCTATAAGAAACCTTTGATTCCTCCATAAATGTAGTATACTACTACCTAAATTGCTATATATAAGATATTCTATCTTTTTCTATATAAATATTATAAAAACAGTACAATAATTCAGTGACATAAATAAATATCTAAACCCTAGCTATAAGAAACCTTTGACTCCTGCATGTTAGTTGGTGGGTGTGGGGTACTTCCTTATATATACAGACATGGAGTCCTAGACATACATACATAGTACTACATACGAACCCAGCCAGTCGGTTCCTAATAAACTGCTAGATTAGCCTGAAGATGGCTGGGAAATTTAGCAAAATTCTCCTCCTGCTAGTAGTGTCATTCGCCATGGTTTCCCCACACCAAGCGACGAAGCTTGGGTGCAGAGACGCCGAGAAGGTGCGCATCCTTCACGATTGCAGAGACTTCATCAGGCCCGGAGGTGCGCTTCTGATCCCAGGCCGAAACGGCAACTGTTGCTGGGCCGTGCGAGCGGTGCCGGGCATGGACATGCCTTGCATCCTCACTCTCCTCACGCCTGTCGAGAAGAAGGAAAATAGTCAAGGCAAGATCCTCGGCCTTGGAAATGCGTGTACGTAATTGGGCCGGCGAACTGATAAAATTCGAAAAAATAATCGGGTTATGTGCATGTATCTTTGAACAATAATGAAAACAGAATAAATCATATATGTCTCCTTTTTTCTGTTGGGCATGTATGTCATCATTATTTTGGATGCAATATTCTCGTGACTTGGGCTTGTTTAGATTGGGGTTAGGAATCAGTATTTGGCACTGTAGCACTTTCGTTTGTATTTGACAATTATTGTCCAATCATGGCCTAACTAGGCTCAAAAGATTCGTCTCGTAATTTACAATCAAACTGTGTAATTAGTTATTTTTTTATCTACATTTAATACTCCATGCATGTGTCCAAAGATTTAATGTGATGGAGAGAGAACGCGAAAAACTTGCAATCTAAACAAGGCATTGTCCACTAGTTTACTAATACAAGTGTGACGTCAACAGCAGTTGGTATTCATGTACTCCCTCCGGTTTTGATATTAAAGTCGTTCCGGAGGATTTTGCGATTTCAAAATACTTGTCGTTCATCTGGTATTCGGTCCATTGTGGACTCTTCTACCCTCGCGCATGCTCGCTCCCGAGGCCGGAACTCGCTAGCTCCCGAGGCAATTAAACCGCAGCCCTCCGTCTTCCCCGTGCGCTCCCGTCTTCAGTCGTAGCCGTGCCCTCCCGTCTTCAGCCATAGCCGTGCCCTCGCTCTCGTCTTCTCCGCCGGGTTCTACCTCCGCGAGCGTCAGCGCGGCTCAACTTCAAGAGACTAGAACAAAAATGAGCAGAATTGCACATTGTTTAAGGGTATGTTTAGATTTATTAGTACTGTGGTTTAAGAGAGACGGAAATTATGAGTTGGTGAATTGCACATTGTTTAAGGGTATGTTTAGATTTATTAGTGCTAATTGTTAGCAGCTAAAATTAGCACTGCTGGATTCAGACGACAGAACTAATAGCTCGAAATGAAGTACCTAGTTAATAAAAAAATATGATATAGAAACTTGCCAACCAGACACTTTCTAATTTGATCAAACTTACCTAAGTTGAAGTGTGGCTAGGGAGCAAACATCCTCTAGTATTAGATGATGTGGATAGTTTATATGGGAAGTAGTAATTATGTTTAGTGTGGGTTGATGTGGATCTAGGTTGCATGGAGAGATTGAAAATTAATGCGAATTTCTTTTGTAAGATGTATGTATTTGATTAATAGGTTCTCTACTATTGTGTAGGTCTCATAGCTAATTTGAGTCATCCTGAGGTCGAGAGTTTGAGCCTCTCTCACCCCACTTTTTCTCTTTTTGTTTTCCACATCATTTATTTAATTATTAGTTCCGAGGCTTGTAGCCTCGTGTTTTCCACATGATATTTTAATCCTTATTTTCAACATTACATGTTGACACATAACACCATTTACTATTTTCACTTTTGTTTTCCACATCATTTATTTAATCAGTTCCGAGACTGATGACACATAACACCGTTTACTTTGGTTCATAAATTTTATTCTATCATCAATATAAACAACTCTCCATGGTCATTCATGGGTTGCAAAACACCTTTTGGAAACATTTTCAGACATTACGACTAGCACCATTCATAAATATACTTCTACATCCCAGGTGATGCCACGAGGCATCCAACATATCACAAAATATAGCAGTCACTGGAACCATCAGCTACAACATCATTCAAAAGTACAGAGTTCATTTTACAAATCTCCACCAACATTTCTTCACTACACTCACAAGCTACCAGCATAGCAGGTCCCAAGCCCTGGTAAAAGAGAAAAGTTATGTTAGGCGCATCGAGCCAATGTAAAAATTTAGCCACTTTAATGGAGATGAAACCCAAAAGAATCCGGTTGGGGCGTAACCCTCTTAGCGACGCGCCATGTCGGAACCCGGGTATGATGTTAAATGAGCAAGGGCCAGGTCGTCACCCCCGTGACGCGTCGTGTCGCAATCTGGACACGGTGTCAAGTGAGCAAGGATCGGGTCGTCGCATCCTTAGTGGCCCACCACATCGGTCGCCCGGGTGTGGTGCAAAATGAGCAAAGGTCTTCACACCTACCTCGATAGGTGTGAAGGGTAACGAAGCTAGTCGAGCCAACTAGGATCCGTTTAGGTAGCTGGAATGTAGGGTCCCTTACAGGTAAGTTTCCCTTACATGTAAGTTAAGAGAGTTAGTGGACACAGCGGTTAGGAGGCGTGTAAATATCTTATGCGTCCAAGAGACTAAATGGAATGGGCAGAAGACGAAGGAGGTGGACAATACCGGCTTCAAGCTCTGGTACACAGGGACAACTTCAAATAAAATGGAGTAGAGGTTTTGATTGATAAGAGACTCAAGGATGGTGTGGTGGAGGTGAGAAGTCAGGGGGATAGTATTATCTTAGTTAAACTTGTCATTAGTGATACGATCTTAAACATAATTAGTGCGTATGCCCCCCAAATAGGCCATGATGAGAGTGCTAAGCGGCTTTTCTGGGAAAACTTAGATTGCTTGGTTAGAGCTGTCCCTAGTAGCGAGAAGCTCTTTATAGGAGGTGATCTTAATGGCCATATAGGTACATCAAGTGTAGGTTTCAAGGCGGTTCATGAAGGTTTCAGATATGGTAGTAGGAACCAGGAGGGAGAGGAAGTCTTAGACTTCACCATAGCTTTTGATCTGATGATAGCTAACACTTTCTTCCGTAAGAGACATTCCCATTTAGTGACCTTTAGTAGCGGCCAATACTCTAGTCAAATCGACTTTGTCCTTACAAGAAGGAGGGATAAACGAACATGCGTGGACTGTAAGGTGATACATGGAGAATGTGTGGTCGCTCAACACAAGCTGGTGGTGGCTGACTTTCCGCTTTCTGGTGCAAGCTCATGGGAACAAATAAGATAGGGTTGCTAGAACGAAGTGGTGGAAGTTAGAAGGGGAGACATGAAAGGTCTTTAAGAAAAAGTCATTGAAGAGGGCCCTTGAAATGATGAAAACGATGCAAACAGTATGTGAAAGAAGATGGCAACATGCGTTCGGAAGGTTGCTTCAGAGGTGTTTGGAGTGACCAAAGGGAGCGGATGCGACTCGAAAGATACTTGGTGGTGGAATGAAGATATGCAAAAGGCTATTAAGGAAAAGGAGTGCTATAAGCACTTGTATCATGACAGGTGTGCAAACAACATAGAGAAGTACATGTGGCAAAGAAGACCGCAAAACAAGAGGTGAGTGAGGCAAAGGGGCGGGCCTATGAGGACCTTTACCGACGTTTGAGTATGAAGGAAGGAGAGAAGGATATTTATAGGATGGCTAGGGCTCGTGATAGGAAGACAAAGGACTTCAACCAAGTCAAGTGCATAAAGGATGAGAGGGAGCAGCTCTTGGTGAAGGGGGATGAGATCAGACATAGATGGCAAGAGTATTTTGATAAATTGTTCAATGGTGAGAACGAGAACACCACCGTTCAACTGGATGACTCGTTTGATGACACTAACAGGTGCTTTGTGCGGAGGATTCAAGAATCAGAGGTCAGAGAAGTCTTGAAAATGATGAAAGGGGGCAAAGCGTTGGGCCCTGATGGTATCACAATCAAGGTGTGGAGATGTCTCAGGGCGCTATAGTATGGCTAACCAAGATATTCAATAATATATTTTGATCGAATAAGATGCCTGAGTGGAGAAGAAGCATATTGGTACCAATCTACAAGAACAAGGGAGATATCCAAAGTTATACTAATTATCGGGGAATTAAGTTGATGAGCCACACTATGAAGTTATGGAAGAGAGTCATCGAGTAGCACCTGTGAGGAACGACACAGATATCAACAAACTAATTTGGTTTTATGCCCGGAAGGTCAACCACAGAAGCAATCTTCTTAATAAGACATGTTATGGAGTAGTTTAGAGAGCAGAAGAAAGACCTCCACTTGGTTTTCATTGACTTAGAGAAGGCTTATGACAAGATACCAAGAAATGTTATGTGGTGGTCTTGGGACAAACATAAAGTCCCATCAAAGTACGTGACCCTCATCAAGGATATGTACAACAATGTTGTGACTAGTGTTCGAACAAACGATGATAACACAGATTACTTCTCGATTAAAATTGGACTTCATCAAGGGTCATCCTTAAGCCCGTATCTCTTTGCCTTGGTAATGGATGAGGTTACCAGGAACATACAAGGGGATATCCCTTGGTGCATATTGTTTATTGATGATGTAGTGTTAGTGGATGAAAGCCAGGCGGGAGTAAATAGGAAACTAGAGTTATGACGATAGCCCCTTGAGTCTAAAGGTTTTAGATTGAGCAGAACTAAAACTGAATACATGAGATGGGACTTTGGTGGAGTTGTACAGGAGGAGGGAGATGTGAGTTTGGAAGGTTAAGTAGTGCCTAAGAAGGATACCTTTCGGTATCTGGGATCGATGCTACAGAGGAATGGAGATATTAATGCAGATGTTAGCCATAGAATCAAAGCAAGGTGGATCAAGTGGCGACAAGCTTCTGGCATTCTCTGTGACAAGAGGGTACCACAAAAACTAAAAGGCAAGTTTTAAAGAACGGTGATTAGACTGGCTATGTTGTATGGAGCAAAATGTTGGCCTACAAAGATTCGACATGTTCAACAATCGAGTGTTGCAGAAATACGTATGTTGCGATGGATTTGCGGTCACACAAGAATGGACCGAGTTCGAAACGATGATATACGTGATCGTCTAGAGGTAGTACCAATTGAAAAAAAGTTTGTCCAACATCGATTGAGTTGGTTTGGCCATGTCTAAAGGAGACCTCCAGAGGCACCAGTGCATTGTGGAGTCCTAAGCCAAGCTAATAATATGAGGAGAGGTAGATGAAGAACGAAATTGACATGGGGGAGGCAATAAAAAGAGATTTGAAAGCTTGGAATATACCTAGAGATCTATGTTTGAATAGGAGTGCTTGAAAAACAGCTATTGAAGTGCCTGAACCATGACTTGGGGCTCTTGGTGGGTTTCAACTACAAGTGAAACCATCACTACTAGATGAGCTAGAAGTGGAAGTGCTACAAGAGGGGTTAGTGGGAGCAACAATGATAGGCTTATAGAAAGATTCATCAATTATGTCACATGTTAAGCCATTGTCACATGTTACAACATGCTCCTTCTTATTTTGCTCATTAAGTAGAGAGGAATGAGCCTTTTCAAGCTTCTTGTAAGCCTTGCCAAGCTCCTCATGGTCTTCCTTTAGACTCTCATGAGATGCATTGAGCTCATCATAGGCTTGTTTAAGGGCTTTTAGTTCCTTATGCAAGCTTTTGCATTCCCTTCTCTTAATGTCAAAATGTTCTTTAGCATCATCTAACATGTCAAGTAATTCATCCTTAGTTGGTTCATCATCATCATCACTATCATTTTTATTTTTATCATGTTCTTCATTATCACACTCATCATCGGATTGTACCTTAGTGGCCTTAGCCATGAAGCATGTCGATGGAGTGTTGAAGAGAGAAGGCTTCTCATGTATGGCAATGCTTGCAAGAGCCTTCCTCTTGGTGGTCTTGTCATCATCACTATCATCATCATCACTATCATCATTATCACTTGAGGAATCATCACTATCCCAAGTGACCACATATGAACCACCCTTCTTCTTCTTAGATGTCATCTTGTCCTTCTTCTCCTTCTCCTTCTTGTCGTTCTTCTTGCTCTTCTTGTCATTATCATCATTGTCGCTATTGTATGGGCATTGAGCAACAAGATGATCCTTACTTCCACACTTGAAGCATCTTCTTGATTCTTCCTTGTTCTTGGATGAAGACTTCTTCCTTCTAGCACGATAGCCCTTCTTCACCATGAACTTGCCAAATCTCTTCACAAAGAGAGCTATCTTCTCATCATCATCATCATCCCAAGAGAATGAACCTTCATCTTCACTTGATGAGTCTTGCTTGGCCTTGCCCCTGGATGATGTGGTTTTGAATGCCACACTCTTCTTCTCATCTTTCTTCTCCTTCTTTTCTTCCTTCTCATCATCATCATCTCTATATGTATCATCGGTCATCACATTACCCAATACTTGGTTTGGTGTCATGGTGTCCAAACCACTACTCACTAGAATAGTGACCAATGTGCCAAATCTTGAGGGTAAGCATCTCAACAACTTGTGAGAGAAGTCCTTATCCTTCACTTCTTCACCAAGTGTTTTGAGATCATTGACTAGCACTTGAAGCCTACGAAACATCTCCGGCACACTTTCATCTTTCTTCATCTTAAAGTTAGCAAACTTCTCCTTGAGGATGTATGCCTTGGCACCCTTCACTGCTTGAGTGCCCTCAAAGGATTCCTCCAACTTCTTCCATGCCTCATGAGCCATCTCAATGTTCTTGATTTGCTCAAATATCCTCTCATCCATGGCATCATGAATGGCACTAAGAGCAATGTCATTGTTCTGGAGCAACACCTCTTCGGCCGCGGTGGGAGCTTCGACATTGGCAACCTCAATCTTGGTCTCCGCCACCTTTCACACCTTTCTATTGATTGACTTGATGTATGTTATTATCTTAGCCTTCTAATACTTGAAATGTCCTAATGGCTAGAGGGGGGTGAATAGCCTATAAATTTTTTACAACAACACTTAAGCAAAATGGTTAGACAATTATAAAGTGAAGCGAGTGTTGCGCTAGCCTACTCAAAATGCAAGCCTCCTATCCACAATTCTAGTTGCTATGATCTCTAATTCACACAAAGAGGCTATGTCACTACCACTAGGTTAGTGAGCTCTCAAAGACTAATTAAAGAGCCTCACTAACCACTAGATCCGACACAAACTAGCTCTCAAAACTAATTACACTAAAGAGCTTAGCTACACTAAGAAAGTAAGCACAAGAGTAAGGTAGTGATGTTATACCGTTGTGGCAAGAGATGATCAATCAATCAATCACAAGATAACCAATGAAATCCTCAGGACAAGATGACACAAGATTTTTTACCGAGGTTCACTTGCTTACTGGCAAGCTAGTCCCCGTTGTGGCGATTCATTCACTTGGACGTTCATGTGCTAATAGGCATCACATGCCTAACTCGCAATCGGGTGCTACAATCAACACAAGATGAGGACCACAAACCACGAACAATCCACTAGAGTACCTTTTGGCTCTCCATCGGGGAAAGGTCAAAAACCCCTCACAATCACCACTATCGGAGCCAAGACAATAACCTTCCTCCGCTCGATGATCCTCGCTGCACCAAGCCATCTAGGTGGCAGCAACCACCAAGAGAAACAAACGAATCCTGCAGCGAAACACGAACACCAAGTGCCTCTCGATGCAATCACTAAAGCAATGCACTTGGATTCACTCTCAATCTCACAAAAAATGATGAATCTATGATTGAGATGAGTGGGAGGGCCTTGGCTAAACTCACAAGGTTGCTATGTCAATGCAAATGGCCAAGAGATTGAGTTAGAGCCGGCCATGGGACTTAAATAGGAGCCCCCACGAAATAGAGTCGTTGGGCTCCTCACTGCACACTTCTCGGGGCGACCGGATGCACTAGTCAAAGTGACCAGACGCACGCCACCCAGCTTTCGATCGCTGGATCTATGCCACGTGTCCCTGTCTTCAAATACGAGCCGCAAATCTCCAATGGGCAACTTGCTCTGCGCCAGGGCATAAGTGATGACCGGATGCGCCGGCTAACGACCTGACGCGCCCGACGCCGTGTCTGCTCACGCAACCCCGCGCTGCCTGCACCCTGTGACCTGACGGGCCGAGGAATGACCGGACACGCCACCAACGTGGCGTCCGGTCACTTCCAGAGAGTATGCAGAGAAGGATTTTCGCGACCTTACGCGCCCGGTCATGGATGACCTGACGCGCCCAGTGTCCGATCTTCTCTGCCAACGCTCCACCGCCTACGTCATGGTACGTCAGCATCGATCGAACTCACCTGCCGCGTTCCTGATCGATCTCTTCCTCCTGTGTCCGGTCAGAGACCGAAGCCAAGCCACTGCTCCACAACTGATCGGACGCGCAGGTCCAGCGTCCGGTCAGCTCCAGTGACCTCGACTTCACCAACTTCGCCAACCTTGTTCAAATGTACTAACCACCAAGTGTATCACCTTGTGTATGTGTGTTAGCATGTTTTTACAAATATTTTCAAAGGTGTTAGAACTCCACTAGATCTAAATGCATATGCAATGAGTTAGGACATCTAGTGGCACTTTGATAACCGTATTTCTATACGAGTTTCACCCCTCTTAATAGTACGGCTATCTATCCTAAATGTGATCACACTCGCTAAGTGTCTCGATCACCAAACCAAAAAGCTCCTATGGATATCACCTTTGCCTTGAGCTTTTTTTTTCTTCTTTTCCAAGTCCGAACACTTGATCACCATGGCCTCTCCACTACTTGAAATATGCTTCCCTATTCTCATGATCACTAGAGCAAGTAGGTTAGCATTTAGGTTTTCATCAATTCACCAAAACAAAACTAGAGCTTTCACTCGCGCCGCATGCATCCCACGCCGAACAAGTGGCTGCACATGCTCCCATGCGCTGCCCCGCAGAAAGGACCGGGGCTCCCATGCACTGCCCCACAGAAAGGACCGGTAGGGCCCACTTGACTGCAACTGCGCGCCTCGCTTCTTTTTTTTCTTGGTCGTTACGCGCATGGGGGGTTGGTCCACCCATACGGACGGACACCCTCAACCAAGCATTACCATTTTCTCCCCTACCCAGCTGCACACAACAAAACATCATCAGACACAGATTACAAGACCACGTTCAAATGCAGGGAAGCATCATTGAAGTGTTTCCCCAGCTCTGCCTTTCGTCTGATTCAGAATAAGCTATGTATGTATGTTAGCTACACGTCTGCCTAGCAAACAGAAACTTTAGAGTACACACTTGCTATAGATAAGAAAAATACAATCTGACATCAGTGTAGTGCACTAACTGCACCAGCAAACAAGCACATCAACAAGAGAAATATGATCAAATATCCCAACACGTCACAAAACAAGGCAAAGCGATCAGCACCACAGGCTACATAACATTCTAATGACACATCACAGTACTTATTTCGATTTGCATGTGTTCATAACTACATTCGGTTGCCACCAGCACACAATTCATAGCCCACTAGCTTATGAGTTCTGACCATAGGCTATGGCATTCCCAAAATACTGCTATTACTGATAATCAACAATATCCCTTTGCGCAAGCAGGCTGTACGCAAGTCACATAATGCTAAACTTTACAGTAGATGGAATTTCAGGGGACAGGTGTTTCAAAGCCACCCCTCTCGCATAATAGCACCTCGTGGCATCTTCAGACTTTTTCCTCTTCCATCGGCCACAGCCTTTGTAGCGGTATGGATGTGGGTCAATTAGCATATCCTTAAGCTTCGGTGACCTCCTTAGCAGAAAGAACAAGAGCTGCAACAACTCAGCTTCCCCACTAAACCCTCCAAACTTGACAGTGTGGAGCGCACTAAGAATACAATTCTTGGGCCATTTAACTTTCAGCCAACTCAATGGTTGCAAATTTCCATAAACCTGCAGATAAATAAACTGGCATAAGATTGCCCAACCCAACAAATAATGGCTAAAACCAGTTGCTTCAAAAGTCCTGTCCACTTACATGCTTTGATATAAAATATAAATAGGAGCAAGATATCTATGTGTAGCAACTAGCAGCACATGAGAATCAGCAGGACCTGACCCCACTAATTTCCCATACTCTAGTTTGAGACATTGAGTACCACAATTTGGCTTGGCCGTTTTAGTAAGTGTAATTTGAGGACAACTCAGCAAGATATACATATTGCTTAAAGGTAGGATTTTTATATAAACAAAACAGACCAGTACCCATCATGTGACTAGGAAAAATCCCAAACCCATCACTTTTAACGCTGTTGATTAGCAATCCCAGCTTTACCTCAAGCTTAAATGTTTCAACAACAGGGGCAGCTCAGCCTCAGGAGATAAGCCACTGAATGGATGCGCTCTTTCCAAGATGTCAAGAGGCACAACACAATTTCCTTAAGACCGGTGAATCTTTCACCCTTTTGCAGCACACAGGGTACCTTGATATAGATCAAGGAAAAAAACACGAATTTTAGCAAGAGTAGAACTTGTACAAAAGTACACATCAATGACACAGAACACTTACATACCTGTAAACGTGAGGGAAATTGCAAGGTCAAACTTCTGAGCTTAGAGTGTGCACCTATGCACTCTAAAGGACATTCATTCTTCTTCACAAAATGAGCACCGAGCCTGTGAACAACTGGCGCATATTCATACTGGACATCCACCTTATGACCCATGTATGAGAAATCCTCGAGCTTCTCAGCATGAATACTGATACTTATTAAGCACTTGCAGTCATAAACTCCCATGCGAAACAATTATGCATGAGAAACTCTCAAATTAATCAGCTGATGGCATTTACTAAGGGCCAAGAGGCGGAGAGCAGAACAACTGGACATAATATTCAGAACAACTGCATCAACCACAGATACAGAGTCGAGTACAAGACAATCAAGATAAGAAAACCCACTAAGGTTTGAATGCATTGTTTCTAGACTGCAATTTGACAGGCACAACTTGTGCAATTTGCAGCCTACCACATCAGTAAAATGCTTCAAAGGGAGGCTGTAGGGCTCTACATGTTGTATGGCCGCCATAGCCTCCACATCACAAAGGCATAGTTTGAGGCATTTGGCACCAGACGTCACAGAAAACGCAACCCAGCGATCTAGGTCAGGAGCATGAGCTGAAGTTAATGGGAACTGAACTTCGAATTCCTGGACTCCAGTACCATTATGATGCCGCAGAAGCTCATTTACTTTATGCATGAACTTTGTAGCTTCTGAATTCCAGAGATCAGGATTTTCATGATAATTTGACTTTCCTAGCACTTGCATCCCAAGAGCATGGGCGCTAAGGCTGAGCCGGTGGACGTTTTCCCACAGGTGTCTCCATCTGCTGGAAAGACAGTCAGTCATCGCAGCCTCGCTTATTGTCACTAATGAAAGAATTTTGACCAAAATATCATCTGGCATCGCACTGATCCAATCAATATTCTGCAAAAGAAACAGGATGCTAGTTATTTAAGGCACTTTTAAACTTTGCTGTCCCATTATTTTTTTAAGTTGGCCATGGAGTATTCTATCTATTTGTACAAGAAGCAACTGCATGCTTTTTTCTTTCTCTGCAAACTTCTAGCTCTAACTAATAAAAAAACTTGTGAAGAGAAGAACATCTTCATAACAAAATATAGTTGGGGACCATATACTTTCCTTCAGTAGCATAATACTTCAAAACTTATTCATAAATCAACCCAGCAAAATGAAAGCATCAGATTAAGCATAGAGAGGGGCCAAACATCGGTGCATTTCCTACTATATATTTCCACTACATTGCAGTTTGGTTCAAGTCCCATACAAACCCAACCATTGTAAATCAAGAAGCATACATTAACTTCAAACAACAGCTCCTGATGGTACTGGAAACCTTTCATATGTTGACTTCAAACTACCATAATCCATATTCGTACAATGCTTCTGTACAGTTATAATCATTTGAAACCACCACTGATGCACATTCCTTATGGGATGGAACATGGCACCATTTTCAAATACCATTGATAATACAAAAAATATTGTAAACTTTGAGAATAAGAGCAGGAAAATTCTGCAACTTAAGACAACAACATCCTTTATCAAACTTGTTAATGTTCCTAATCCTTTGCACATCCTCTAAGACCACCACCTCCTAGGCTCCTGAATTATCTTTTTAAACAGACTGAAATAAGATTGTTTCGGTCAGCTATGAAATATTCCATTAAGCATTGCTACAAGTTGACAATTTCTTAAAACTTGAAATATTTTGCAGAAACATATCACATAAAATTATTAGAGCCAAAACATTCAAGGGAACACGAAACATACTAACCAAAAGAAGTACAAATGAACTTATTGAAACAGTAAATAGGCACTGTTTTCCTTCTAATAATAATAACAGTAAGATGCATTTTTCATGACAATGATAGATATATAAATATACAATTGATAAATCCAGAACCAATCAATAAAAGAAAATTTACCTGCACTCCGGGATGCTGGATATTCCGCCAAATCCTCCTTTTCTTTGGTGGAATGAAGGTCACAGGTTGCTGATCACTGTGCCAAGTCCCCCTCTTTTTTAGTGGGATGCATTCATCTAGAGAAAAGTAAGAAAGAAATAATGACCTGCACAGCTAGTTGACCCAGCTAGTATGTCCTAGCTGCTCGCTCACCCTTATTTTTTTTCCTCGGGTGAGGCACAAGAAGCCAAATACAAAACAATATACAGAGTACTAGGAATGTAAGCTTGACTGCTTGCCTAGTAGGGAGCTACTCAACTTTGGGAGTGAAATGGAAACGCAAATAATCCCTCCACCCATGATTTCTCCATAATCCTTGAGTATTAGGTGGGGACTTGCGAAGTTCCTTCCAATTTGGGTGTTCATGATCTGATCCCCCAAAGGGCACAACATACGAGGTTCAATTACGAATTAATTGACTGATCGCATCCCCAATTCCTCACATCATTGTTACCTCAAAAGATAAAACTGAGGGTCTTAAGAGTTAGTTCTTGAACAAGCAGAATTTCATACAGGTCGACGAGAAAGCACATTTGAGATGGTTATGTACATTAGGACAAAGGGGGTGAAAAGAAAAGAAAATTCTGAGATGTGGCTTCTTGTAACCCCGACTCATTAGGCAATGTATAAAAAAAAAAGTTCTCTGTGTGCCCAAAAAATGCAGCTTCACTAGAAGTAAATCCCTCGCCCCCAAGCCAGCGCCCCAACCTCCTTCCTCTGTCCCCTGCCCGGACCACACTCGTTCGGTTCTCTTCTAGTACTACTCTCTTGTTAACAAGTTAAAAAACCCTAAGCCTCCCCTTCCATTTCGTACCGGCCACTGCTCTTTGATGCGCACCAGCAAACAATGGAGGGGTGGAGACGATCACCTGCGGAATCCACCGGCAGCCGGTCCCCCCCGGGCAGCAGAGGCAGAGCAGAGTCCATCTGGGGTTCGGCCAGTGCTGTGTTGCTGATGGCCCCAGGGAGCACGGCGAGCAGTGAGGCTATTTTGTGTGTGTTTGGCTGTAGGCACGCGTGGGCCCAGGGCCAGGGCCAGGTCCCACAGGTCGGCCACACTGCAGGAGTACGTACACACATCGATTCAGTTCAGTGTACCAATTTGGTTGAACACAAGTGCAGTGAGCGTGACTAGTGCAAATTAGCAATTGGAGACCACGACAAAACCCACACGAACAAATTAGCAAAAGAGCCACCATAGCATAGCAACGTGGATCACATTTTCAGACTTATAATACACTGGTGTAGCAGGAAATATACAGATTAATTAAGGGATCCAATAGAACCTTTTTCTCACCGGACGCACTACCACTGCCAGAGGATATGCCTCTATTTATATTAATATTACACCAAAACTGATTGCCACTAAGCCCCCAAGCTTTGCCAAAAAAATACAAAATTACTCCATCACCAACAAGGCTACAGAAGTTTTGTGAAGAAACAAATGTTTTAGTGGACCCCTCGCTAAAAACTAACAGCCTTAACAACTAATTGCACTTTAAAACGCCTACGATAAAACAACATCAGACGTAAAGATAGGCGGAAGTTCGACGGAAAGACAGGCAAAAGTCCAACGGAAAAGGGAGCTAGCAGCGCCACGGACAATCAAATGAAACGTAGGAGACGCCCTCCGTGTGCTCATTTTAGGGGGCCGGGACTTCCTGCGTCTAAGTAGAATATTCCTTCCGAGGGCCGTCCCATGCCTTGGTCCTCCATCCAAACACTAATGCAAAAGAGGATCATCCCATTCCATCCTCGTTCGATCCACGAATCAAACACTACCTTAGTAGCTGGGACTAGAGGCCAAACTGATACGAGGACATGTTATTTTAACCCCATATATACCTGAGTAGTTTAACGGTAATGCTGCGGTGCGGGCGTCCATCCACCCGGACGCTCCTTGGTGGGCCGCGATGCCAGCCCAACTATCCCCTCGCATCTGCTCGGGAGTTTCTAAAAAAATCCTCTCGTCCACTCGTTCCTTTCCGCTTCAGGCACCGCCCCTCACCGCGCCACACCTCCAAATGACCCTGCCATCACAAGGTCCCCGCAGCAGAACGCTCTCTCGTCCCCGCTCCCTCCCCAGCCGGCGTCTCTCCCGCGTGGCCGGTCCCTTCACGCGCTTGCTCCTTCCCGCAAGGCACCCACTCCCTCCCCACGTTGCTTCACGCACCTGCGCCGCCATCCACATCGCCCGTCATGGAAGGGGAGGCAGGGGAGGCCTATGCCTGCGTCTGTGGAGGCCTGTGCCTGCACCTGTAATTACACCCCCATCGATGTCGTGCCGTCGGCAGGAAGGGGAGGCCTGTGCCACCACAGTTCCCCACTAGGTAGATCGTGCCCGCACGGGGCGAACGCTGTGTTCAAGTGTTTCATTTGAATGTTGCAAAAGTTGATATGGGATGTTGCATATGTTGCAAAAGGCAATATATGCATGTTGCAAGCCTATAATTTCAAGTGTGTTTTAGATGTTTGTTTCAAATATTTCATCTGGATGTTTGAAAAGTAGATCTTGGTGTTGCACATGTTTCAATGGCTACACACCCATATTTCAAGCGCATGTTTCAAGTGTTTTAGACTTATGTTGCAAATGTTTTATCTGAATGTTTTAAAAGTAGATCTTGGTGTTGCACATATTGCAATGGCTACACAGCATGTTTCAAGCGCATGTTCCAAGTGTTTTATCTGTTTTCAGATTTATATTGCAAATGTTTTCATCTGGATGTTTCAAAAATAGATCGGGTGTTGCATTCCGCTGTCCACCTGCTGCTGCTGGTGCGTCGTCGTGGTTCACGTGGCGGCGTCTGAGGCCTGCAGACACCTTCGCGGCGCGCATCTATAGGCGGGGCAATTGGGCGCGGGTCCCGGTTCCGTCTTGCGGGCATGGGGCGTGTTTCCATCGTGCGGACGCTGGATGGGCGCAGGGTGCGGTTCTTGCCGTGTGGGGCACGGGCCACGGTTTTGGACGCTAGCGCCGGTTGGGAACCGGATGGAGCGTGTGGGCTATGATGCGGGATGGGGCGTGGGAGCTGCGTTCGGACGCGGGCCTAGGGCCGGACGTCCAGGTGCTAGCAAGCCCGGTAGTTTAAGTACCCAACTTAATTATAAGTGAAGTTAAATCCTATAAGATATCTTGAAGCAGTTTGGTTTAGCTTTATTTCAACTGTTTCTCGCAACTATAAATAAACTGGATTACACAGTCCGGAAGACAAACTAGGCACGAGATCGGACGGCGTCGTAGGTTGGGCCGGAAAGACCAAGTCCACTTCACACTTGAGCAGCACGGGATCATCATCATACGTTGGGCTGCCTGGAAATCCAGCCGATCCCAAAGCCCAAGTGCAGCCTAACAAGGTCAAAGAGGTTAGAGAAAGGGCCCAGCCCAAGCGCACACTAGAATCCATCCAGAGTTCCCTCAAAAAAAAAAAAAAACAGAATCCATCCAGCAAATTAAAGGAGAGTGAGCTGTTATTAGGCCCCGGGAACGTAAATGACCATCCTCGAGCTCCCGAAACCCTAGCTAACAACAAATTCGGCCGGTCGAGCCGTGCCCGTGTGGTGTTGTCGATGGCGTCCATTGCTCCTGCGGGTCTCCCGTGACGCCGCTCGCGCCGCTGCGTCGGCAGCATCTCGCTGTGCGGCCGCGGCGGCGGCCTCGTCTTGCGTAGGTTCAGGCGGTGCGGCGGCCTCATACGGGCTCCTTCTCCTGCGCAGATCACCCACCGTCGCCTCACCACCCTTCGGGAGGGCGGGCCGATCCTCCTACCCCCGCTGCGATCCGCTGTCGTTTCTGTAAACGCCTCTCGCGTCTTACCGTAGGCCAACTGCATCTCTGTATTAACTTTATTTCCCCTTTTAATTAATGGAATGAAACATGTGTCGAAGGATACGTTCTCCAGAAAAGAAAAAAGAAAAAAAAAGAGAAGAATACCGTGGTTGAGGGCTCCCGGAGCGGCTTTTGATACAAGAGAATGAATCTTATTTTAGTTTTTATCCACCCGGCCGCTCAAGTGTTTATTTATATATAGGATCATGCCAGACTCGTAAATGAAAAAATCTTCTCAAAGTCTTGAATTCTTTGCCTCTAGATCATGCTACGATGCTATACTATCGCTGGCTTCAGCAACTGGCTGCTCAAATGTATTTTAGAAAATGAGACTGTGGTAAGTCTCTCCAGAATATAGAAGGACAGGCCGGCTCAATAATATATAGTCTATAGAGCCGGCCACTTGACATTTTCTCCTATAATCTTTTCTGTGACAGCTTGCTAATCAAATACAATAATAATGCATGCCGAGATTGGATCCCATGGATTGCTTCGCCATTTGGGGAGCCGCACCAGGATGCCGCATGCACGTGATTTCAATGGTTTGATCCAATCCAAACACCACCAGCTAGCAATGGTTTCTTCTTAGCTGGAAACATGAAGCCATGGCGGAGTGGCACATGCCCGTTCCGCGCTTGGTGGATCGTACTTGTAATTAGCCCAATTAATTAGCAGTTGATGATGTTGTCTTACGCTGGGATCGAGCAGAGGAGTTGCACCTGCCGCGCTTGGAAGGAAAACCATGGTTAGTGCTAAGCATTTCCAAGCAACGTACTCCTATCTTTGATTATTTGCACCTGGATATGCTTGTGGTCATATTCGGGTGATTATTTGCCATCCAGTTCTCCGTGTTTTGAGCGCCTCCGAAAAGTTTCCAGACACCACAACCACAACCTGATCAATTAAACAGACGCGCTGGGGGAGGAGGACTGTCTCCCTTTACACTTTGCCTGGGAACTGGCGAGGCTAGCCTTTGCCAGCGGAGGGGAGTCGAATCGGCTCGCTCGCCCCAGCTAGGAAATACCTTGAAATCAATGATGCGTAGTCCACACACATGACAATACGTACTATGGATAATACAGGCCTGGACTGGACACCGCGTGCGTAGGTTGGATGCGTATATATACATGCATGGACGCCGCATGTGCAAAGGCTAATTAGCTAGCCGTTTTATCTCGCTTCTTCGGTGTACGTGACCAAATGTTCATTCATCTTTTTTTTTGTATTTCAATATAAATAGAACACACATATAAGTGCATTCATATAAATATCACTAGTGCGATGCGAAATGAGAGAACACGTGAGGTTCCCCTCGGTGACTCGGGGCGGCAGCCCCTCACCGCCGGCGGCGAGGCTTCCTGACTCTCCAATCAGGGAGCGCGGGACTCCCCCTCGTGTCAAGCGTGTCAAGCGGGTCATCTCTCACCCTGGCCCGGTTGACAGCCCCTCATCCGGAAGGCAGAGACGTGGCGTGTTGAGGGAAGAGCAGGTAGCGGATCCGCATCAATGGTGGTCGCGGTTTTGGGCGTCGGCTCCATCCAAACCCAAAACCAGGGACCCATTGGAGGGAGAAGAGATCCAGGATTTCTGGGGACAGCTGTGGTTCGTCCCCAACTCCAGCCCCAGGGTTAGGGTTCGAGGGGGGAGAGGCAAGAACCTGGTGTGGATTCGCCGGGATCTGTGGCTCACCAAAACCTTCGAGCCCGCGGATTGCTTTCCGATTGGCGACGGTGACAAGTGGGATCAGCCTCCGGCCAAGTTGAGTTTTGCAGAAGACATCTGGGGTGAAGGGAAGAGGCTGAGCTTCGTCAAGATCATCAAGGGATCCATGGCGGGAAGAGGAAGGGGACGGGGCCCAGACCCTGTAGTCCTGAGGAGAATTGGGGGGACTGGGGTGGAGGAAATTGGAACCAGTTCCCGCAGCAGCCTCCTCCGCCCTTCTATGGTCACCCACCGCCGCCGCCACCCTTCGGCTTCTTCCCAAATCAAGGTCCGATTCATCCTCATCCCCCTCCTCAACAAGGTTTCAATCGTTCGTTTGATGCTACCCGACCTAGAGGAGACGACAACCTTGGTAGAGGGAAGGGAAGGCCGCAGCATC